GCCCCCCCCCCCAGGTACCCACAGCCAGTCTCTGCCCTCCTCTGCCCTGCACTACAACAGCACACTCGCCCAGGTACTGAACAGCCAGCCTCTGCCCTCCTCTGCCTGCACTACCTCAGCACACCTGCCCAGGCACACACAGCCAGTCTCTGCCCTCCTCTGCCTGCACTACCTCAGCACACCTGCCCAGGCACACACAGCCAGTCTCTGCCCTCCTCTGCCTGCACTACCTCAGCACACCTGCCCAGGCACACACAGCCAGTCTCTGCCCTCCTCTGCCTGCACTACCTCAGCATACCTGCCCAGGTACGGCACTACTGCGGCAGAGAGCTGACTTCAGGCTCCTGGCAACTAAAGCCACGTGGATCCCACACTTCATCTTACCCCTAAAAACCACCCTGCCTTTCTCCTGGAGTACGCAGGGGGGCATGAGTCTGCCAACCTTGCTTGCAACCCCCTAGGGTAGTATTTCTCTACCTTTTAGGTGCTTTTGAAAACCCCTGGGTTGCTGAGAACCCTCTTCCAGACACACCGCTTCAGAGGATGCCCCCCCACCCCCCGTGGCCCATCCCTAGACACCAACGATGCATGGACCTCAAGTTTAAAAACATCACTCCTCCATGGCTTTTGGAGTGGAAAGGCTAGAGGAGACAAAGGAGCAGGGGAAGGGGGCGGGCAGGAGAGTGGGGAGAGGACGCTCCCTCCTCACCTGCTCGAGCTGCCTCTTGACCTAACCCAGGCGGACCACCCAGCTCTTCATAAGATGCTGGCTCTGGCTCTGGCCAGGAGGTGGAGGTGGGACCCAGAGCCCAGACTCCCTCCCTTGCACTCCCCCAGAGAACACAAAGACCACACAGCAACCCTCCTGCCCAGCCTCCAGGGGAACGGAGGGGCCAGCCTCCAGAGGCCTGGGCAACAAGGTCCATGGGCCTCCCCTCCACCTCCAGGCTGACTTCATCCCCCTTTGCCCTGGGCTCAGCATCCAGAAAGGAGCTCTCACCATGCCTCATGGCCAGGCAGACCTCCAGGCTGACCCTGGGACCTGCCCTCTGCTTCGGGACCCAGCTGCAGACCAGGCACGCCATGCCTGGCACTGGCCTCTCCGAAACCAGCCGTTCCCCACCCCACCCCCATCACCACACGGGGTCACATCTGCTTTGGCAAACAGCCAGTCTTAAGTTACCGACTCCAGTTGTATTGATTCAGGGAGTCACTGGGGACCCCAGTCTGGCCAACAGGAGGAAAGAGCCCATCAGTCTGTCCATCCACCCATCCTTCTAGTCCCCAGCCCCAGCTGGCTGCGGCCAGCTCAGCGCCTGTCCTGAGAGTAAGGTACTCTCCCAGGAGCAGGGAGGGAGGAAGGAGGCGCCGCTATGGAAGCTGCAGAGGGCGGCTGCTGCATCTCAGCCACTGCATCTCAGCCGCTGCACACAGCTCTGCCCGTCCTGGACCTGAGAACCACCAATGGCCAGAGCTCAAGGCTTTCTCTGAGCACCTCCAGAATCAGGAAGGCTCAGACCTAAGCATCGCCTCTACCCCTGCAAGGACACCTGCCTTCAGCTGGGAGGAAGAGGGGCAGGGGCAGACAGTCCCCTTTTGGCCCCTGTCCGCTCCTAGGGCCTCTCCCTGTGCAGCTCTAGGTGTGTGGGGGCTCGGGCAGCTGGTGCTTCCTATTCCTTTGCCCCCTCCCGGCTGAGGCAGCCCTGGTCTGGTTCTAATCGGGCTGAAGTCGGCTCCCTCTTTCACTCTTCTTTCTCCCTCCCACCCCTCCTCCTTCATTTCCACGGCTTTGGAAGCCAGAGCGTTCCAACTGTCTGCGTGCCAAGACCTTCCCGAGTCTGAAAGCTGCTGAAGTAACAGATCAGATTTTAGCAAGTGCTTTCCAGGCGGAGCGCCAAGCCCTCTTCTGATTCACGGAGAGCAAGAATCAGCCCAGGGCTGCACCTTGGGCGAGGGCGTGCGGAGCGCAGCTGGGCAGTACCGGAGCGGCCTCGCGGCGACGGCCCCTCTACCTGGGCGGCCAGCATTTCCCTAGTCCCGTGCGTGTGCGTGTGTGTCTTTCTCAGTGCTGCAAACGCCTTCGAAACCACAGAGTAATTTACAACTGAAGCTTTCTCCCTGGATATGAAATCCACCCGGCTGAAAGAAGCCTTTTTGTTTGGAAGAGTGAGCGGCGATGTTAAGGGACGGTTGGCAGAGAAAATCCCGAGGTCCCGACTCCTCGCCGGCGGCCGGCAGGGGCCTTGGAG